CATATATTAGAATGTATTAAATCTAAAACTTTAGAATCTTTGCGAGAAACACTTGAAAAAGATTTCTTTGTTAATTTAGACTTAGCACATAATTCACATTTATCAAATTTACCATTAAAGTTAATAAAGTCTAACTTTCTCATATTTTTCAAATAGCGAAAGTTTAAATCTGCTAAGCGATCATGCCATAAATAAGAAGACTCAACAACATAAACAACAAACATAACTTTATTATTAATACTAAGTTGATACATTCCATTACAAGAGTACCCCTTTCCCACAAACATCTCGTTCTTAGACAAGATTACATTGTTTGACTGAAAAGAAACCCGAAACCCTTTCTTACACGAAGATCAACAAAAACTAAGTTCTTTCTATTTTGGGTACATACAGGATATTTATAAGAGTCAATTTCTTTCCAGAAGTAAAATATATATCAACAGTCCCCTTCACAGCAACCTTTGCACAAGCATTGTTCACCATTTACACTTCTGTAATTTCTGAATTTTCTTCAAATCCTTTGAACATGAATTTGTCCTTGCAAACGTGGATTGTTGCACTAGAATCAAGCCACCATCCAGACTTAACACAAGTCATATTGATTTTAAAAATCATGGCGATCATATTCTCTTCTATCATATTTGCAAAAGCCTTTGATTTTGCATTATTATTTTATCTATGATGACATTCTTTAGCAAAAATGTCCACGCTTACCGCAAATAAAACAGGACCCCTTTTTATTCTAAAAATTCTTCCTTTTAAAGTGTTGTCCACTTTTCTTTACTTGAAGGTTCCTATTTTTACTGAAGATTCATTATTTTCCACTATGTAAACCTTAGTATCACTTTGGCCAGAATTTTCCGAATCACGTAAGTGTGACTCCTCTTCAATTCGAAAATTCTTCTGAAGTTGTTCCGAAGAGATGTCCTCAGTTTTATGCATTAGTTTCTTCAAGTAATCTTTCCGAGTTGAGGGTAGTTTTGTAATAATTGTAGCAACTTGAAAAGACTCTGGAAGGACTATTTTGAGAACATGAATCTTATTAACCAGAACCTCCAATTCATGAACTTTCTCTAGGACAGACTTGTCATCAACCAGTTTATACTCTAAATATTTTGCAATTAAATACTTGTTTGTACCTTCCACCTCGGATTTGTATTTAAATTCTAGTGCGCTCTAGATTTCCCTTGCTGACTTTATCCTCGTTAAAAGATCATATAGCCGATCCGAAAGTGTGTTTAGAATGTGACCACGACACAACACTTCATCTTCCTCCCGTTTCGCCTTTTGCTTTTTTATTTCTTCTATTTCCTCTTCAGTAGGTTGGTTCCCTTCTGCACTTGGTTTCAGATCTTCTATAAGCTGCAAGTTGGGATTGAGGACATAGGAGATCTTCAATGTTGTAAGAAGGAACATCATCTTGTCTTGCTAGTAAGAGAAATAGTTCCCGTCAAATCGGTCTAATTTGACCATGTCTTGATTCATCACCTTGATTGATTCCGACTCCATTGTAGCAGAAATATTTCTTTAAGATTGTTAGAAAAATTATGAAGGAGATAAATTCTGAGGCGTGAAATACTTTCCTTAAAAAATACTAATATTCAAAGTTGCTTCGGGTTAATGTAAATTTTCTTCCCATGATACAGCAGAAAATAAAAATTCTAGCAAGGAAATTTAAAATTTTTCACTAATTCGTTGTGACACAAGTTTGTAGTATTGCAGATATTTTTGACAGAAAAGTTTTGAAAAAGAAGTGAAGTTAAGATATCTAAAATTATAAACTATTTATTGGTTTGAAAATGTGCTTCCAACAGTCATAACTTTTTAAAACACCTCTTGGAACAAACAGACACTTTTCAACACCTGCTTGTCTATTCATATTTTCTAAAATTCAAAATAACTTTAAAAATAATATATTCAATATATAGATATATATTAAAAATAATAATATTGCAAAGTGCGTCTAATAATCACGTCAAAATCGCGCATTATTTCGCTACCCGTACGGGGGTTTAGAAGCTTGTATTTTGATCTATTTATCAAAGCCCAATAATCATTAAATACTTTTAAACTTATAAAAGAATGCTCAAATATTTAATCCTAGGACTATCTTGTTTTTAGAAACAAATATTAACATCTTCTTCATGCACCTAGCGTGTGACACGACAAAACTTATCATAGACGAAAACGACCGCTGATGGCTTTAACAGATCAAAACTTTGAAGGAAAATGACTACGTCACCATGACATTTTGGTGACTAACAATATATACATTCATGTTAAACACATAAATCTTTATACTGTATACCAAATAATAATAATAATAATAATAATAATAATAATAATAACAATAATAATAATAATAATAAATTAAAAAATAAAAAAGAACCCCTTTCACTCAATGAAAAGAGAAATTTTGTAAAAAATAGTGGACTTCGATGGAAATATTATGATTTCAATGCATGTCTAACAAAAGACTTGTTCTCTAAACTAACACAGTTTGAAGCTATAGATTTAAATTCTGATCGGATAAGAAAACAAATTAAAACAAATTATTATTATTATTATTTTTTTTTTTGAATTCATCCTATCTGCACGTGAAGTGCAACTCAGCGTATCACCAAAGCATCATTACCAATTTTTGTAAGAGCTAAGAGCTAAAATTGGAGGGACCATCTTGTTAATGATGGTCCCTGCAGAAAACACTTAGCTAGATTTCTTTTGAAAAAACTTTAGCTAAGATCTTGTTATTTTTATAATTTCAGAGTTGAGAAAGAGGAGCATACATACAAATGATACAATGTCTTGTCACCCAAGCTGCCGCATCGCGTGGGCCGACAGCCCAACAAAAATCCCTGTTGATTCCAACTAATTACGATCAACGCGAGACACAAAGAGAGCCTAACCCTCGAATCTATGCTAATTCCTTCCATTTCTTCACCTCAAAAATCTTAAGACGCTAATTTGTTTGTCATGAAAACCTCAAGCAAACTACAACTAACGAGAAATACAGAGTAATTAGGGGGGTCCACGAAGCGGCGGAAAGCAAAAGGTGACGTGTGGATGGCCTCAAAAACTCGCTTTTGAAGTGTGTGGAAGTGTGTTTAATTTAAGCATGCGGATGCATAAAATATTCGCCGGAAGGCTCGGCTTTATAAAGTTTAGACACTACGGGATTATATTAAGAATTTAATTAGCAATTTGAGCAGAGAATTCTGATTAAGAATGAGATAGTGGTTGTGGCTACGGCAGTTTGTTTAATGATCTCAAATGCGCTGCGCCTTGGGTAATGAGCGCTTTTAGTTTTAGAATCACGTTCTTCGGTGAAACTCACATATGTTGTTGGTTTTTTATAGGTTGGGTGTTTGTTCCCATTTTCATTGAATAATAATAATAACTGTGCTCTTCTCCCATGTGTTGCTACGGGGACCCAAAATATGGGACCAAGGGACGGGACATGTGAGGTGTCCCCTCCATTGGTCCCATATTTTGGGTCCTTAAGTCATTTTCCTATACTACTTTTACACTACAACAGAGAAGTGCAGGATCCTTTGGCGTGTCATCAATTTTGATAAAAAAAAAAGACGACGAAAATGAATCACACGCTTTTTTCTCATATAATGTAGAGGTAGTGTTGAGGTGGGAGGACCGAGGGCAGTTTGGGGATTTGCAATAGTCATAATAGTTATAAGCAACTTGCTCTCGGATAGGTGCCGCCTCAGAGAATTTGTATGGGCGGGAACCACTATAGATAGATCACGTGGCCCAGCGTAACAATTGTTGGACCACATTGCAGCCCGATCCATCAAAAAATGCAATACTTTGTATTAGTTTCATAGGCGGAACTCGGAACTCATCAGGCTCATTAGTAGGGATCCAAACGGATCAGATAAAGATTTGATACTAAAGCAATTGGTAGGCTGAAATAAAACATCAAAAGGGAGCTGTTACATTAAAATACGGTGATAACTATATATATTCTCCAGCTCGAAAATCATAGGGGTCTTTGCATATCCCCTCAAAATCTTTAATATTTGCAAAACTGCCCTCCAAATCTTGGTATTTGCAAAATTGCTCCCCAATTCTCCCACGTATTTCAAATGAGTTACAACTAGGGGTGTTAACGGAGCGGATACGGCTCGGATATGACACTTACCATATCCATATCCGCTTACCCATCTCGGATACGGATACAGATACGGATATACGTCGGTAAGAAAAATTCATATCCATATCCTCCAAAATCGGATACGGTTACGGATATAGATGCGGATATATAAACGGATATGCATGCGGATACAAAAAGATATGAGAAAACTAGATAGTATTCAGAAAAATATAGTCATGTGATACAAAAAGAGTTCGTTAATATGTTCATTATGATTGAAAAGCTAAGATTAGACATCTTGATCATCAAAATTAACCACAAATCCATAATCTAAGAATCAACACTATCGTAAGAGTATTACTAATATGTATTCGGATTTTTTCGGATACGGATACGGATATTTCACTACAAAACCATATCCACAACCATATCCTAACGGTAATAGATTTGAGTAACCATATTCGTATCCTAACGGATACGGTTACGGATATTTCCTCGGATACGGATACGGTTTGGCACCCCTAGTTACAACCCAAAATTTTCTTCCACTTTTAGTCGTTTCAACCCATTCGCAAATAATTTTACGGTATCACGATCTCAAGAGCTATAACCCATAAAATTTTTTTTGCCATTTTTAATCATTTATGACCCACTGGAACATAATTTCACAAAGGCTAAAATTAAGAGGCTAAAATTAACAGTTTCATGAGCTATAACCCACAATTGTTAGCTATTTTTTATCATTTAGACCCCAATTTTAGTCTTTAAACATGAAATTACTGCAAAACTATTGGAAATTTTGGCAGTGCCTTGTTTTAAAAGCATCATTCTTAAATTGTAGTAGAAAGAACTAATATGCTAGTTTTAAGGGGTAATTTTGCAAATATTAATATTTGAGAGGCAAGCTTGCAAATGTTGAACATTTGAGGGGCGTATATGCTAAAACCTCGATAATATTAGTTCAACATTGCCATACCTGCTGAAAACTGATATTACAAATGTTACAGAAATCTGGAAAAAAATCAGCAGGCAGCAAATATACGCATCTGTTACAACTTACATATTTGCTGAAAACTGATGAATCTATCTCCTGGATATATATTCTACAAGGCGTCTATCAAGCTCAAAATGTTGAATCAGAATATTCTGCAAATGCATAAAGAGAAAACTGGTTAAACCTTTACCAACTCATTTATGTAATAGAAATTCATAACTGGGAATAAACTACTCACATGTAGTAAGCGAAATGACGCAACTTTAGAAACATGCAGTTCTGTTCCATTAAGCTTGTGCTTAAACAAATTACTAAGTGATTTGATCTTTATACAATATCATCTTAAATATATCACAGATCCCAACGAGAAACGGAAATAAAATCAGATCAGTTAGTTGCAATTAAGTATATAACCAATTGGCAGTGTATAATCATATTTAAAAACAAAAACTGATCTTTTAATTCGTGCATGCCATACAACTATCTGTCCTGCCCTTTAGCTTCGACTGAGATGAGAATAATTAGGCAAATTGAACACCAAGATCCCCAGTAGTTATCAAGTAGTTACCTTTTGTTCCCAACTGATTCCTTTACAGCTCTACTAGGCCTATAGATTAAAAACTAAATGCTTAAAACATGCCTGTATCTTCTTCTTCTTCTTTTTTATTTTTTATTTTTACATGTAGAGAGGTTTCTAAAATATTCAAAAGGCAAACTGTATAAATATTTTTTTAAGTTTAAGGACATTGTAGCAAATGTGTTACGGGGAAGAAGCAAATTTATAGGCCCATGAACCATCCTAATCATTGATTTGTATATTCTGCACTAATGGAAATAATATGAAAAATTGTCAACTACCTTATCATCATAAGTTCATAACTATGATTACTGGTTCCGGCAGCTTTTTGATATATCACCCCTTTCATTTTCTGCCACTTGAAAGAGTGCAAGGTGACTTCATCCCCATGCTAGACTAACGCTCAGAGAAGAAGAGTGAGAAATTTGAAGACAGTTGGTAGACTTATTATCGTTGCACGAGGTCGCAAGTTAAAGACATGCAACAACTAGCATATTAGGAATACTTTCTATAGGGAGGGGGTAAGACGGAACCACTTTTTGTTCAAGAAAAAACATTCAGACAGGAAAAATATATACTGCCTAAACTGATTGCCTGATTCAATTTATAAGCTTTTCTTAAGGTTGAAGTCCAAATTCTCTACATGACTACTGTTGTAACCTCAACATGTGACACTTCAGAGGATAACAGTGACACACAACATTATCAGGTAAGAAACAAAAATGAAAATGTTAAGAGAAAAAGTAAAATATGGCACTGTTGTGGAGAGCGAAAGTGGGAGCTAAGCAGTAAGACAAGGCTCAAGTTGTTAACACTTCGGCGAGTTTTAGCGGGCAAAAAGTGTGAAGGTTTTTTCGAAAATAAAAGCTTAAAAGGCAATAAAAAACATTTACAAAATAGGAGATACTTTAAGTATATGCATAACAAAGAAAAAGGTAAGTAATTTATACTAAACCATTAATGAGGACAATAAACATCCACAAAAAGAAGATATGCGCAACATAATGTTCTAAATCTTGGGGCCTAAAGCATCCCAAAATCCATATAGAGAAGCAGGGGTTAAGCGGGCTTTTTACGTTTTTTTGAAATATGGTAAACTAGCTCCATGTTTAAAAACCTCGTAAAAAGTGGATAAAGTCGGAAGAAATACCTTAGTAATAGTTGGTGCAGGAGCGTCAACAATGATATCTGGTAATCGTGCCACTTCCGAGGCATTGTCAAATAAAATATAGGTTGGAAGCTGACCTGTAACTGCAAATCCAAATGGTAAAAGGCTAAGAGAATTGAGATAATAGTTTCTAAAATATGATCCAGATGCAGTAAAAAATGCACAGACTATGAAAATTACAAAAGGATTATAGGAATTGTACCACTTAAAGATATTCCAAATTTTTCTGCAGCATTAGGGAAGTGCCCAAGGTCGACTATCCCAAAAGATAAATTCTTATTCGCATAACTGTCAATAATTTCAGCATATTATGTATTAAGCAGCCAATAACATTATCAAATAATGTAATAACAAACGCAAAGTTGCAAAATAGTGAATACAGAAGTTTTTTTTATTTATTTATGAAAGGGTTGGTGCACTATCATATAACAATAAATCTCCGAAAAAAGTTCTGTCCTGCTTTTTTACATGTGGCACGAGCATGTATAACTGATAATCTTTCTGTATCTAGAGCAATATTTTTACAGATCATTGGAGAAATACTATGATGAATATTGTGCATAAAGTTCTTTCTCAAAGCTCTAAATAACTCACGTGATGGACAGATCAGGGAAAATGCGACTTGTGCGTATACATGTCGACGAACACAAAGCTCGAAACTCAACCTGTCAACCAGAAAACTTGGCCCTTTCAGAATATCTCAACCTATAAGAAAAATCAGTCTATTTGTGAACAATTTCGGTTGGTTTAAGGAGAAGTCACATGAACAAATATGAAGCAAAGAGAGTATCATGAGCTATAGTTATGCCTAAAGGAGCATAAGTAAATACTAGAAAGGTCAGTACACAGTAGGAAGTTAATTTCTCATACTGGTAAACAATTAATATCTTTAATGATGGATTTATAATTCTACTCAACTTTTAGATGAATTGTACTTATATAATTTGATCACTTGCTTATAATTCTATCATACGGATATTAACTGCCTGGGCTCTTATTTGCATAGTAATCAGATTCATAGTGACTCAGTGAATCATGATAAAATGCAGTTTCACCACTTTTAATGATAAAGGTGAATAATATATATAACTAACCAGCCAAAACCTCGACTTGCTTCCTTCTGTCAATAAGCTTTCCAGTTGCAATGGAGTCAGATGACTTGAATCACCTAAATATGTCAGTAGAATAAAGACACAGGAAATAAATCAGTTCTCTGCAGATCAAAGATGTATAGATTTATGAAATCTAATATAATTCATGTATCAATGCACGGAGAAAAGGCCATACCAAGACCATCGTATGGTGGTTGTTGAGTTAAAATGAAAATAACTGGAAAAAAAAGGAGTCAGGAGAATATATATAACATTTACTCTTTGACAAACTCAATATTCTAAAGTTGACAAAAATCACAATATTCATCTCAAGCTAAAGGAAGGTCCCATAGTAGAAGTCCTAGAAGCATTTGCCTAAATAGAAAATTATGATAATAACCTAAATGAAAGAACTTTAGGAGGCAAAACAGAATAACTTTGTAAGTTTAAGATGCTCTATCCTACAAATAAGAGTGAGACCTATCATAGCTGAGCACCAACAAACTCAGAAAGAACTTGAACTTGTCTATGTAACTGATGGATTTTGTCTAGTCAAAATCATATTATTAGCTATCACTTTTCATTCTTGTTATGTGATACATATTTGTCTCCCCGTTCCTGCTTTTGCAAGTTTTCCATGTCCAAAATACATGTTGTTTTGGTCGCTCTCCGTGTCATTGCTTCATGGAACAGCAATTTGTATACAGATTTGAGAGCCAAAACAGTTAACACATGTTACAAAAAATATAATGGTGTTTACCCTCCATTATTTCCTGCACTAAGTGTTCCTTTATTTTCTAGTTATTTCAGTTTTAAAACCCATTTCTTTCATTGTTATTACCTTCAATTTCCATTTATTTGATTTGAAAATGCTGGAAATACTTTTAGTTTATCATCTCTCAGGTTCAGAAAAGTAATTTTCTTCCTTTTTTTCTTTCTTTCTTTTTCTTTCTTTTTATTTCCATAAACTGGAAAAGTATTCATCTCTTGGATAAACTCCACATTTAATTTAAGAACAAACAACCTACGAAACACCAAGTAAAACAATTGTTCATGCTCAGGCTGTCAAATTACATTCAAGGTCAATCACAAAGATTAAAGCAAGAATCAACAAATTTAATCATATATGAAGACCCTAAAGTATGCATTAAGCAATTCAGAATCCATTTAAATGACTGCAGGAACAATAGATTAGACGATGTGAAACCTTGAATAGATTAAACATCCAAGCTGAATGTGCAATGAACTTGCTTACAAATTATAGGATTTGATACCTTCTACCTAGTGTCTACTTGGCATTCCATGTCACAATCTGCTAATAAGTTCAGAAAGATCAATAAGTGAAATATATATACCTACAAATGCCGCCAAGTAACATAAAGCCAGGTGATAGTCAATAATTGAAGCGGCTCCAAAAAGGAAGAACTACAACAACACAATCAAGAGGAGCAATACATCAGGCATTTCAGTTTGATTTACAGAGCTGCTTACAGAAAGCTAACTTCAAAATACAAATTGGAACTTGGAAATAAAATGGCATATCATGAGCTGCTTTCAAGTTTTCTCTGAATCAGGTAAAATTAGAGAGAACATAGTAAGAATGATGCATGGACCATAGTAATAGATAGTAAGTAACCTTTTTAAGTGCAAGATCAATGAGTTGACATCACACAATGAGTTAGTTGACATCACCTTTGCGTAAAACAGAGTATCAGCAATAAATCCATCCCAGGTTTCCTCCTTCACTATCTGTTCAATAATAACAGATGGAAAGACAGATGTCACTCACTGAAGACTAATTTAAGATATGTAAATATGTAATCACTAAGGAAATTCTCTTTCACCTAACGATCTAGCAGTAAAAACCAGACACCCAGAAAACATAAGCTTCTTATTCAGGATGACATTTTCTAATGAGATTAATGATTTAAAATAAGAAAATTATGCAATGGATATTTGGTTTAAAATATCCATGTTCAAGTCTCCTCCCTAGACACAATGTTTATGAATATCTGAGTCGGGCAATTGTGGCAACACCAATACACCACGTTTCAGGTTGGCTCTATGGCTTATATTCTTCCTAACAGATGAATGCAATTCCCAGTAGGACAATTTTGGAGGTACAATCCTACCTATCTTTGCCTTCAACTCATCATAGAAGTCTATATATAAGGCAAAGAACGTTGCCACAAACGAACTACAAAAACACCTTTACTAACAGAAAAGTTGTACGAAGAAGGCTAAAAACAGTCATTTTAATATAAAGCTGAAGTTATAATGAGCAAGTTTCCTTCTAAACATAATATTAATAATCAATGCTAGCTACATAGGACATTGGCCAGCCACTTGTGTCAGTTATTACTTGGAGAGAATTAGAAAATTTTGGCTCTTGAGATGGACCATTTGATTACCTCGAGTAGCTTAAATCTCCAGTTAAAATGCAAGCATCTTCTTCATAGTGTATCATCACATAACCTAGTCATGGAACTAGTCTCAAAACTAACTGCAAACTCTCGTGCACTTGTCAATGCACTACAAAATGAAGAACCATATCGAGATCATTTCAAGAATTTGTATGCAGAGAACCAGCACAGCAAGAGAATAAAAATAGGCCCTTCTTCCCAGAACAACTCATGTAATGCCATTGACTTTGATGGTCGTTAGCAATATCGTGAATAGCACAGAATGAATTTTTTGAAAGTATAAAGCTATCCTTATTGTCAAAAGTATTCATCAACGACTAGTTTCAGGTTATTGTGAAACAAATAGTTTTGCTTCAAACAACCAGCTTTCTATATCTTTTCTTCTTTACTATCCCCATTCATTAATATATATGATTGACGGCATGTGATATGCATTTTGACATATAAATTTCTTTCTTCTTTCTTCTTTCTTCTTTCTTCTTTTTTTGTGCAGATGTGCAACAACACTACAGACAGCTTCCAATGCATTCAGACATTGACCTGATTATTGATTCTAAGCAGCATTAACTAAATACTTCATACCCCCATAGCTCCAATTGTAAAATTTGGTTGACATTTTGGGCAACAGATGCACATGCATCAAGACTATATCGATCATTTCCGATATACAAAGAAATATTCATCTATCTCAGGAACACTCAATAGACATAGTTAATTCATATGCTTACAAGCATATAATTGCATTATGCTTCACCTTCGGCATAGAAGGAACATATGCCCACAAAGGAACAGCCTTTCACCAACTAAATACATGATTTGTTAGTATTTGTTTGTAAAAAAAAACAAGATAGTCCCACATTGGAATTTTGAACATTCTTTTAGAGGTTTAAAAGCATTGAATGCTTATTGGGCTTTGAATAATGGATCAAAGTGTAGGCTTCTAAACCCGCGTGCGGGTAGCGCGAATAATACGCGATTTTGACGCGATTATTAGACGCACTTAGCACTTTGCACGCTTGCCGCTGCCGCTTAAATGTTCTATTTTTTATATATATAATTATATATTGAATATATTTTATTTTAATGTTATTTTGAATTTTAAAAATTATGAAAAGACAAGTGACTGTTGAAAAGTGGCTGTTTGTTCCAAAGGGTGTTTTGAAAAGTTGTGACTGTTGGAAGCACCTTTTCAAAACTTTAAATAGTTTATGTTTTCAAATATCTATTTACAATTCTTTTTCTGAATCTTTTCTATCAAAAACTTCTGCAATATTACAAACTTGTTTCACAACGAATTAAGGAAAATTCCAGATTTGCTTACTGGAATTTTCATTTTCTGTTGTATCCTGGGAAGAAAATTTGCATTAACCTGAAGCAGCTTTGAATATCAAGTGGGGGCAAATATTTCTTTAAGGAAAGTGTTTCACGCCTCAGAATTTCTGTCTCCTTCAATTTTAAAACTAACAATCTTAAAGAAATATCTCTGCTACAATGGAGTCGGAATCAATCAAGGTGATGAATCAAGACATGGTCAAATTGGACCGATTCGACGGGAACAATTTCTCTCGCTGGCAAGACAAGATGATGTTTCTTCTTACAACATTGAAGATCTCCTACATCCTCAACCCCAACCTACAACCCATAGAAGATCCAAAACCAAGTGCAGACGACAAACAACCTACTGAGGAGGAAATAGAAGAAATCAAAAAGCAAAAGGCAAAACGGGAGGAAGATGAAGTGTTGTGTCGCGGTCACATTTTGAACACACTTTCGAACCGCTTATATGATCTTTTCACGAGGATAAAATCGGCAAGGGAGATCTGGAACGCACTGGAATTTAAATACAAAGCCGAAGAGGAAGGTACAAACAAGTATTTAATTGCAAAATATCTAGAATATAAAATGGTTGATGACAAGTCTGTCCTAGAGCAAGTTCATGAATTGGAGGTTCTGGTTAATAAGATTCATGTTCTCAAAATAGTTCTTCCAGAGTCTTTTCAAGTTGCTGCAATTATTGCAAAACTACCATCAACTTGGAAAGATTATTCGAAGAAACTAATGCATAAAACTGAGGATATCTCTTTGGAACAACTTCAGAAGAATCTTAGAATTGAAGAGGAGTCACGCATACGTGATTCGAAAAATTCTGTCCAAAGTGATTGTAAGGTCCACACCGTGGAGAAGAATGAATCTTCGGTAAAAAATGTGAACCTTTAAGTAAAGAAAAGTGGACAACACTTTAAAAAGAAGAATTTTCAGAAGAAAAAGGGGTCCTGTTTTATTTGCGGCAAGCCTGGACATTTTGCTAAAGAATGTCGTCACAAAAAAATAATAATGTAAAATCAAAGGCTTCTGCAAATATGATAGAAGAGAATCTGATCGTTATGATTTCTGAAATCAATATGGCTTCTGTTAAGTCTGGATGGTGGCTTGATTCTGAAGCAACAATCCACGTTTGCAAGGACAAATCCTTGTTCAAAGGATTTGAAGAAATTTCAAAAATTACAAAAGTGCAAATGGGGAATAATGCTTGTGCAAAGGTTGCTGGAAAAGGGACTGTTGATATAGATTTTACTTCTGGAAAGAAATTGACTCTTATAAATGTTCTGTATGTACCCGAAGTTAGAAAGAACTTAGTTTCTGTTGATCTTCTTTGTAAGAAAGGGTTTCGGGTTGCTTTTGAGTCAAATAATGTTATCCTGTCTAAGAACGGGATGTTTGTGGGAAAGGGCTACTCTTGTGATGGAATGTATCAACTAAGTATTAATAATAAAGTTATATCTTCTGTTTATATTGTTGAGTCTTCATATTTATGGCATGATCGCTTAGCACATTTAAATTTTCGCTATTTGAAAAATATGAGAAAGTTAGACTTCATTAACTTTAATGGTGAATTTGATAAATGTGAAATTTGTGCTAAGTCTAAATTAACAAAGAAATCTTTTCCAAGTGTTTCTCGCAAAGATTCTAAAGTTTTAGATTTAATACATTCTGATATATGTGAATTGAATGGTATGTTAACTAGAGGAGGAAAAAGATACTTTATCACTTTTGTTGATGATTGCAGTAGATATATGTATGTTTATCTTTTAAGAACAAAAGATGAAGCTTTTGATATGTTTAAAAAATACAAAACAGAAGTTGAAAATCAACTTGAAAGGAAAATTAAAGTATTACGTTCTGATAGAGGTGGTGAATATTTTTCTGATAACTTTAATACTTTTTGTGAAGAACATGGCATTATTCATCAATGTACAGCACCTTATATTCCCCAACAGAATGGTTTAGCCGAAAGAAAAAATAGAACTTTACAAGAAATGATAAATTGTATGCTTAATAATGCTAAGTTACCTTTAAATTTATAGGGAGAAGCTTTGTACATATCATGTTATATTCATAATAGGATTCCCTCTAAAAAGTCAAATATAAGCCCTTATGAGTTATGGAAAGGTAGAAAACCTAATCTGTCATATTTTAAAGTGTGGGGGTGTTTGGCTTATTATAGAGTTCTTGATCCTAAAAGAACAAAACTTGGACCTAGAGCCTTTAAAAGTGTTTTTGTCGGATATGCTGAAAATAGCAAAGCATATAGACTACTTGATTTATCTTCTAAAACTATTGTTGAATCTAGAGATGTTAAATTCTTTGAAAATAAATTTTCTGTAGATTCTGAAAATGTTGAAAATATTCCTATTCTGCTTAACTCTAATAATATTTCTAGTTCTGATTTTCATGCTAAGGAAACGAATATATCTAAAGAAATATCAGAGCCAAGAAGAAGTACTAGAGCAAGAAAAGAGAAATCTTTACCTTCAGATTTTATTTCTCCTGAACAAATTATTTTTCTTGTTGAAGGTGATAGGAATAATAATGTTTTAAATAAACATCCTATAAGTTTTAATCCAGATGATGATCCTAAAACCTTTATAGAAGCAATGTCATCTAGAGATGCTTCACTTTGAAAAGAAGCTGTCAATGATGAAATGGATTCTATAATAGGAAATAGTACTTGGATTTTAGTAGATTTACCTCAAGGATCAAAGCCAATAGGATGTAAATGGGTTTTTAGAAGAAAATATCATTCTGATGGTTCTGTTCAAGCTTTTAAGGCTAAATTGTAGCCAAAGGGTTTAGACAAAAAGAAGGCATAGATTATTTTGAAACATATGCACCTAACGACAAAAATTAGTAGCCAAAGGGTTTAGACAAAGAGCTAAAGGTTTGTTCTTTAAAGAGTTCATGAACCAGGAATAAGCACAAGGCCATAACAGTGCTAAAATATTAATTCTCATTGAAACAATAGATTAGTGTATGTACAATATTCTCCGGTTCTATCACAAAGAGTAATTAGTTTAATGTTAAGGCAACTAACGACTTTGATAGAACTTTGAGGTATTTGTACTAAGTAAAGGTTTAAATCGAAAGATACCTCTACATATGTATACTTATCTCATTTTGTACATATTGCAGATTATTTTTAAATATAATACTATTAAAATGTTTTTTCAAACAAAGTGGGGGATTGTTAGTATTTGTTTGTAAAAAACAAGATAGTCCCACATTGGAATTTTGAACATTCTTTTAGAGGTTTAAAAGCATTGAATGCTTATTGGGCTTTGAATAATGGATCAAAGTGTAGGCTTCTAAACCCGCGTGCGGGTAGCGCGAATAATGCGCGATTTTGACGCGATTATTAGACGCACTTAGCACTTTGCACGCTTGCCGCTGCCGCTTAAATGTTCTATTTTTTATATATATAATTATATATTGAATATATTTTATTTTAATGTTATTTTGAATTTTAAAAATTATGAAAAGACAAGTGACTGTTGAAAAGTGGCTGTTTGTTCCAAAGGGTGTTTTGAAAAGTTGTGACTGTTGGAAGCACCTTTTCAAAACTATAAATAGTTTATGTTTTCAGATATCTATTTACAATTCTTTTTCTGAATCTTTTCTATCAAAAACTTCTGCAATATTACAAACTTGTTTCACAACGAATTAAGGAAAATTTCAGATTTGTTTACTGGAATTTTTATTTTCTGTTGTATCCTGGGAAGAAAATTTGCATTAACCCGAAGCAACTTTGAATATCAAGTGGGGGCAAATATTTCTTTAAGGAAAGTGTTTCACACCTCAGAATTTCTGTCTCCTTTAATTTTAAAACTAACATGATTGGCCTATATAAAACCCTTCTAATTCAATAAAGTCTAAGGTTTAAGCATTAGCACAAGCTAAAGTCCGTCTCCGCCCTAAGAAAGAGCAAAGCTCCTAACAATGTACTACAACAGCAAGATCTGACGTTGCATTTTAGTTCTTTGAGCTCATAAACCGTTAAAGAAAGGGCGCAGAATTAGCATTTAGCAGGTGTAGGATCTTCTTCTTTACCTTAAAACAACACATTTTTAAGTAAATTAGCAACAAAACTTGTTCAATCATTAGGGTTTTAAGATCAAATGGTATACCTTTATCGCTACCAGCACCGAAAACGTAAGAACCGCTTGGATCTCCTGCACTCCAAGAAATCAAATCTCAAATCAGAAACAGCAACAAAACCTAAAATCACAAAAAAAAAATATGAAAAAATCAAAAAAATAAAGGAATCATACGCGGCGAAAGAGGAGATGAGAGAGCTCAGGCGAGAGATCAGGGGAAGCGGCGGATCGAGCGGCGAAGTAAGAGAAGAAGGTGAGGAAATGGAGGAGGTAGAAGGGCTCCGTCGCCATTAGGTTTAGCCACGGAAGTGGGTGGTTATTACGGTTTCTGCCACTCGCCGACATTGCTGCCTCCATTTTTACGCCGCTTCTTGTTGCTTCTCAGATTTCACTCCCTGCTTTCTTGTCGTCTGTCTTGCTTTCTTCGTCCGCTGGTGGCTTAATTGCGGAATTATCCTCCTCTTTCTTGTTGCGTTTACTGAAACACCCTATGCTAACTTGGAATTGCAGTTTTCAGGCTCTCAGGGGGCCTGTTTGGCTAATATTTATTTCTTGAAACCTTATAAGTTGCTTGTTATTTATTTTTACTTATTTTATTAGAGAAAAAAAATAGTATTTTTAATATCAAGGTATTTTCATAGAAACCACCTTAAAAATAAGGTAATTATATAGAAAGCACCTTTTAATTTTAATTTATACGTAAACTATCTTTAAAATGGATTTGTGCTGCAGATATCCACCTCTTAGACAAAAATTTTACTAAAAATTCAAAATTACATATAATAGTGTATTTGGATGGAGAGTAGGCAAGGGTAGGAGAAGAGAATTTGGGAGTTCACTTTGTTTGGGAGTTTCCTTGAGAGGGGTAATGAAAGGAAGCGAATGGAAAATTCACATTAAGAATCTAGCCATTTCCCAACTCCCCCCACCAAAAAAAAAAAAAAAAAAAAAAAAAAAAAAAAAAGCATTTCCCAACCCCCCCCACCAAAAAAAAAAAAAAAAAACAAAAACAAAAACAAAAACAAAACAAAACAAAACAAACTACAAAATCTGGGTGTCGAGAATAGAAAGAGAGAGGAAATAGTTACAGAAGGTGTTTGACCCTTTATTACTAGGGAGCAACGGTTGAGATTTAATTATGATACATGTTCTTTCCATTTCATTCCCTTAGGGCGTGTTTGGATTTCAATGGGGTTAAGGGAAGTTAAGAAAAACTAGGTGAGAGAAGAGAAGATAAGAGAAGAGAAGGAAGTTCCATTCTCCTTGGTTACACCCCAATTTGGGGGATAACAAATTTTATACCATTAAGGGGTGAACTAAGGAGAACTAGGGTGAATAACTTCACTTCCTAAATATTCCCAAACAATGTGAATGGTTCCCCTAACTTCCCTTCTTCCTTATTCCCCTTAATCCAAACAAGCCATTAAGGTTTATTTGGATAGAGGAGAACATGATAGAAGGAAAGGTAGGGGAATACATTCACTCTGTTTGGAAAGTTTTTAAGAGTGAAAATGTTGGTTACCCCCTACATTTATTAGAAATCAACCACCCCCCCTCCCCGCCAAAAAAAAAGGTGGAGCCTAAGGAATGGAATTACCTTACCTACCATTCTATTCTCTCCCCTCTTTACTCTTTACTTCCCCTACTCCTAGTGAAATCCAAACATGCTCTTAGTTAAAAAGCTCTTATAGATAGAACAAGTTGTCATCCATTCCTTTTACTAAACTATCAAACAAGATATTATATTTTCTCTCTCCTACTCTACCTTCCTTTTTTCTATGTTATATTCTCTTCCTTTTTTTGTAGTAAACTCCCAAGCACTCTATTAAAGAACTCACATCAAGACACATGACTTATTTTTTTAATGTTTAGGTCTTGTTAACTTGAATTTTTAAGCATATTTTTGTTTTTTAATTAATAGGGAGGCGTAGTTGATTACAACAAAAACCCACTTTAAAAATAGTTTATGTATGAATTAAAATTGAAGAGTGATTTTCCTAAATTATCATATTTTAAAGATGACTAGTCTGTATGCACGTGGTTAAATATCAGCATAATTTATTTTTGGGAAAAATGCTTCCAACCCCCAAAACCCAAGAAAACGTGCCCCCTCCAGACTTTATCAACGGGTGCTTTGCCCTAAAAATAAATATTTTGTTCTCTGAGCCCCCAAAACACAACCCAAGAAATTAAAATATGTGAAGACCATAATACCCTTCTCTCTCTCTTTATGATGATGTTACTGATAGTTAAAATGATTGATGAGCATTGTTATTTTATTATTTTTCCCCTTTTTATTATTTTCATTGTTGATGAGAGGAACTAACTATTTTGTTTGTATTAGGAGATTGTTAAGGTTACGGGTTTAATTGTTAAGGTTATGGATCCCTCCCTCCCTCCCCCCTCTCTCTCTCTCTCTCTCTCTCTCTCTCTCTCTCTTTATCATGATGTTACTGATAGTTGAAATGATTGATGGGAATTGTTATTTTATTATTTTTGTTTTTTATTATTTTCGTTGTTGATGGGAAAACTAATTGTTTTTGTTTGTATTGGAATATTGTTAAGGTTATATGTTTAATTGTAAATGTTACAGGTTTAATTGTTAAGGTTACTGATCAATTGTTAAGCTCTCTCTCTCTCTCTAATTGTTAAGGTTACGAGTTTAATTGTTAAGGTTACGGATTTAATTGTTAAGGTTACGGGTCAATTGTTAAGATTACGAGTTTAATTATTAAGGTTACGTGTTTAAATGTTAATGTTATGAGTTAATTATTAAGGTTATGGATTTAATTGTTAAGGTTACTATGACACCCCTGGATTCACACAAGGCTGCAGTCTAAGGTCAAACCAAAAATGTCAAACCTGTCATGCACCACACCATACAATAACATATTTCACCATCACAATTACCATCTCTCTAGTAGAGTCAATAACAAGTGTAGGTACAAAAGCAAGTAAAAGATAATACAAGAGATAACTGATAAAATGATAGTGATCAAATTAATATTTCATCATCCAACATGCAGAAATACAACGTCAATGTCTGAAGTAAATAAACTGGAGTTCTCAACAAGTCTCAAATACAAAATGTCTGAATAAGAAGAAATAAGACACACAATCTTTACAACTTCTAGAATAAAACCCTCAAATGTCTAATCAAAAGTCTACAGTGGAGCTCAAAAGAAAAATATAACTAAAGTAGACAGCTGAATCACTAAAGTGCATCGTCGTCAACCTGCGACTCTCTGGGTACCTGGCTCGTTACCTGAAAGGGGAGGAACAACGAGCGTCAAAGCGCTAGCGAGCAACATCACAACCAACCCCAAGGGATAGGACTCGTTGTATACAAAAAATACAGTTAATACATAAATATACATAAAATCACTAATCCTATTTAGGAAATTACAACACGAGCATAGGTACGTCGAGCGAAATAATCCAAATAAGGAAACCCTTATGTATATACCTTGTAGCTCAAATTGTAACTTCTTAACAATAAGAGGATTTTAGTATTAGGAAATTACAACACGAGCATAGGTACGTCGAGCGAAATAATCCAAACAAGAAAACCCTCATGTATATACCTTGTATCTCAAATTATAAATCCCTAAACACCAAACCCGACATCTAATACATGAACAATAATAAAAAGAAGACAACCCATCTCAGAACTTAAAATACTGTGTCATGTCACAACTCACATAAGTGTCATGTCCAGCCTATGCAAGTATAAGTGTCATACTCAAGGTCTAAACTGGTGTCCAACACATGGACTAAAACTAGATGTAGTTGATGTCCAACAACTGGACTGCATATGTAAATTGTCCAACACATGGACTGAGAAATGAATATCCAACACATGGACTGAACGTGATAAATTTCCAACACATGGACTACATATAATAATTGCTCAACACATGGACTAAATGAAATATATGAAAAGATGCATATACACTAATTTCACACGTGTCTCGGTGTGGTAAACTAGACTTGTGTCCGCAAGTCATCTCACATGTAGAGATACAAAATAAACATAAATTTCTAATATCAGATATTCGAGGCGACTCCTCGTTCACATTAAAGTACGTAGTAAAAGTAAACATGCATAAACACTTTCAGTTAAACTGAAACAATCCAAACAGATCCAAACTAAGGAAAAATTAGAAATTTCCTCATCAGTCGACTCATAAGTCGACTGGGATCATCGGTTGACTCATTGGTCGACCAGACAAACAGAAAGGAAAACTGTAAATTTCCCGTCAATCAACTCATTGGTCGACTCATCAGTCGACTCATAAGTCGGCTGATAAGTCGACTGATTGGTCGACTGAGCAGAAAATTCCCAGCTTTCTACATACGTTAATTATCTACAAAAAATTTCAACCTAAAGTTCCTCTTCATCATTTCTAGCAAAAATAAATATAATTCTTACATGTATGTACTAAACTGAAACGAAAGATTTGCATGTACTTACGTACATTAAAATCCTAAACATATTTATACATGTATAAAAATGTATTGAAATCGATAAATGTCAAAGAAACCCATGTTTAAATCTAATTCCAAATCTGGATCTACATTACAAAACGTTAGTGAGTTTTTTATTAACTAAAACATTTAAATCTTACAACTCATATTATAAAGAATCTATCTTTATACACAAAATGCGTTTTAGGCTCAAAAATCCGAATTAAAACTCAGAAAAAAATTATACAAATAGTGGGTATAGGACTGGGCGAGATGTTACTCGCCTCTGGTATGCTACAAAACTCCTAAATCCGTGAGAGAACGATCCCCTTCGCTGCATTGCGCCAAAAACCCGCTGCAATTCCTCCAAAAATTCTCCAAAAATCACCAAACACGAAGCTAGGGTTTGAGGGGAGAAAGGGGGCTAGAGTTTCTAGGATCTGAAGGTGTTCTCGGGTAGGAGATATAATATATGAGCGGTCAAACCCAAAACAAAACCAAACAGACCCGCAACTAAAAAAAATCCGAAATCAGCCCGTCAGTCGACTCATAGATCGACTCATCAGTCGACTCATAAGTCGACTGATAAGTCGACTGAGCAGACAAATTTCCAGATACGTGCATGTTTTACTTATTTACCAAAACTAATGCATAAAACTCTAAAAAAATATACTCATACATTTCTAATAACTTGTTATCAAGTATATCTATGACCTCAAGTCATTTACCACAATAGAATTATTTATCATTAATAATTCACATATCTTCATAACAAAAAATAGGGGTTTTACATTCTTCCCCCCTTAAAAGAATTTTGTCCTCGAAATTCAGAAATCATACTTAAACAAATACTATTACTCTAGATAAGCATATTGTGATATTTATATTTAACAATCCAGGATGACTATATTCCTACTCAACCCTTAATCAAATGGAACTAGTATATCGGACGAAAAATCCAAATAAGGAACCCCCCAT